GAGTGCTACCGCGCGGTCGAGCAGGCCATGGTGGCCCTGCATGGCCTTCTCGACGGCGGCCGCGAAGGTCGGCAAAAGCTCAACGAGCTCTTCCACCCGTGCACGCCCATGAAGAACGAGTTTGATGACTCGGTCTTCGAGTCGTCCGTCATGTCGCTCTTCCAGGGCGTGTCCCAGTACAACGCCATTTACGCAGGCCCGACGCTCACGGACGTGTGCAACATCTTCGCGAAGAGCAACGACTCGCTCGCGCAGCTCGCCGCGTTCGTCCAGACGGCGTCGAAAAAGCCGTGTTTGGACTCGAACTTTGAAGGCACGGCCAACGGCACGATCGAGGTGCTCAGCGAAACGGCATTCGACGGCACGAGCTCGAGCCGCCAATGGTTTTACCAGACGTGCAAAGAGTTTGGGTACTTTCAGACGGCCGAGTCGAACCAGTCGCCGTTCTGGCCGCTCAAAACACAGACGCTCCAGAACGTCGGCCTCGAAGTGTGCAAGCGCGTCTTCCAGATTCACGTGCACCCGGACACGCTCGGCATCAACATTGGCTACGGGTCGCTCGACATTACGGTCGACCACGTCGTCTTTCCCAGCGGCACCATCGACCCGTGGCACGCGCTCGCCGTCCAAAACACGACGCGCATGAACACCAAGGCGGCGCGCCCGATCTTCATCGAAGGCACGGCCCACTGCGCCGACATGCACGCGCCCAACGCGACCACCGACTCGGGCCACATGCGCTGGGCACGCCGCGAGATCGCCGCCGCCGTCGCTTCGTTTGTGAGCACCCCGATCGCTGCCGAGTAGTTTAAAGCAGTTGATCAAACAAGTCGCGAATGCTGTTTGAAATTGTACGGATCTAGCTAGACCAACGGAACGACACACTATGCACAGATATTACCCATGGTCCAGCCTCCATGACGAACAATAGCACGTTCATCTGGGCATCCTCTCTATATTTTATACTCTTAGTATCCGTTGTGACGCCCTCTCTATTGTCAACTATCGCATTGGGTTTACGTTCCCAAACGTCTAAACCACTGCTGCAAGACGATGCGTACGGTCACTTGGAGTCGTCACCGTTGGTGATATTAGCGTTACAGAGAGGCGTGACTTCGACAAGGTTATGCACCGCGACGCTGATGGGTGCGTCGTCCCGGCGTACGGCATAATCTCGTGGCGCGTCATAGCAACAGTCGTTGCGCGGCTGTCGCGTCGACCAAAGGCCGTAAGAGAAACCTGGCGCCGTAACGGTGACAAGGCACGAGCTCGTCCAGCATGGCGGGATCGTTGCGCCGGCGTTCATCACTGTGGCCAAGGAGCAACGGCGAGTGCTCGGGACACCACGCGTAGCTGCAAAAGATGTCGAGGACGGTGCTGCTTGGGATACCCAGAAGGAAGCGCGTGTAATGAGCGTGCCAAGCCCACGTATCGCCGTAGCGCTTGGCCTTGCGCATGAGGGCCAAGACATGGTCGTCCTCGAGTTTCTTCGCGTAGTGCTCTGTGATGCGGAGGATGAGGCCGTGGTGGCCGTCGTTCTTCGTAGCGGCCATCCACACGGCCTCGTTCGCGCATACCCAATCGGCGGGCTCGGGGCCGAGACACATCTTGAGTACCTCTTCCACTGCACGACCTGGACGCCGTCCAGGTCGCGCAGTGGAAGAGCTCGTTGCGGCGCACTGCAGTGTCAAACTGGACCATGTAGTCGGCGAAACGTGAACCGAGACTGGGTACCTTGCCTCGCCGGTAAACTTGTCCAGGCAAAGGCTCTCGAGATTTGGCGACTGGTTGCAGGCCATGTCGCCGTAGCCACCTTGAGGACTCGAGGAAAGGTTCTGATACGCGCTGCACTTGCGCGAGTGGTCGTGTCGAGGTGTGGCGGTGTCGACCTCGATCGTATGTACGCGCAGCTTGTTGTCGAGGTCCAGGACTCTCGCGGCTGCGGCGTTGACCCGGAACTCCTCGCGGGGTGAGAGCGTGAGCTTCTTCGCTGGCGTCAGAGTCTTGGTCTTGGTCTTGGTTGAAGGATCTTGTGGGAGGCGCACGGTCGTAGACGTCGGTCGACCAGCGGTCGACTTTGAAAACTCAAGAGCGAGGGGCCCAATCGTCAGCGGGCTGCAGTCAGTAGCGACGGCCTCGCTTCGTTGGGTGCATGCTTGGCCTCGCAAGCCATGCGTGGCGTGGAGTTGCCCACGCGCTGTGATTTGCAGCGGTCGACCCATCGGTCACCCGGGGCTGCACGCATGTCTTCGCGCACGCAACTTGGGCGGCGCTCGTCGGGGACGGGCTTGTGGACGAGGGGCTCGGCGCACGTCTTGTACGAGCAACGAACGCTACGTCTTCATCAAGCCAAGAGACTTCGTACCATGTGGCACAGCTTCTGCAGGCACTTCTCTTGGGCTCATAACCTGTAAGAAGTATGAGCCACGCACTGGGCTGTACCGTGGCACGGTCGGAGATGTGTGTAGTAGAACGCACGTATGAAAGTGATATTGTTCGTTATGGAGGCTAGAACATGGGTAATATCTGTGCACAGTATGCAGTTCAGTTGGTCTTGATCAGTAGTCGCTGTACGATTTCCAACAGCGCCTTCACGCCGTCGCCTCGAGCTGAATAAACTGCTTCTGCAATCCTCCCAGCGACTCGTTGATGTACTTGATGATTGTTGGGTCCAGCGGCTCGTTGGGCGTAAAGTGAGTTCGCTTCTGACCGTGGCCTGGGTTCTTGCAAGAGTCCCGGCCTTCACACTTCTTGTTGGACACATAGCGCTCCATCTTGTGGCGCTTGGGTACCCGGCCTTTGAGCGACTGGCCCGACGACCACGTCACCCGGCCGCACGTGACCTTCCACGGCAAAAAAGAAGAAGTCGACCACATGCTGGACGGAGAGACGTGCGTGCGCCAGTCGCCGGCGCGCGGATCTCAAGCCGAGTGTCCGCGGTGGGCCTCGCGTCGTCGGCGGTGCCTTGGAGTTCGCGCGATCCGTTCACCGGGTCTTCCACTCGGCTGCACATGGTCTCGAGCAAAAGTGCGGTGGCGGTGAGGCGTCGCCATGGCACCGTCGCCGAGTTCGACCTCCATTCCCCACAAGGCCGAGGCTCCAATCGGGTGGCACTGCTGCACTTCATCCGCCCTGACGTCGTAGGTGCCTCTGGCGTTGGCTACCGTGAGAAAAACCATCGCACTGCCACGACTTGTCCCGCCGTCGGCGAGCCGTTGTGGCGAAAGAGGACAAACAGACGCAGCAGAGCGTCCATGTTCGAGCGGGCCTCTTGCACCAATGCGTACGTGAACGTGCACTCGTCCTTCGGCACCGTGAACGAGATTTTGGGCGAGCCATCCGTCGGCCGGGTCGTGAATGTGAGCACCTTTGGGCCGCGTCTTGCACTAGCCACCTCCGTGATGCAAGCGTACACCGGCCAAGCGAGCGCGCTGTTGGCAACTCGAGCGCGCGATTCGTCGGGGACCAGTCGTTGGTTTCGCTGAGCCGCCTTCATTTGAAAAGACCGTTTCGACTCCTTGCAGGCGC